GTGGTCCAAAACCATAGGACGTATGTCTGACTATATTCTCCATGATACAGGCATCAAAAACGTTGTACATGACAGGCCTTAAGCAGATGTCCCCTTTGCTCTGCAATCAGGCACCTCAAGAAAACCTAGCCTTTCACGGTGTGGGCGGTCGGGAAGTGCCAACCGCCTTCACAGCTGTCGGTAACTCAGAAAAATAACGTCAGTCACTAGGATACAGGTACGTCTAGCTGATAAGTCCCGAGTCCTAGATCCTACTATTAACCACTATCCATCCTTAGAGTTACAAACTTTGATTGGTTCATCAAGGTTGAAACCACTATAGTACACTCTAACACCTGTTAGTTGGAAGTAACGGATGGGAAGCGCTCCACAATCTACGGGTTCTTGACAATCACCTCCAACCAACTAACATTACAGTATTTGGTTTCGCCTTTCAAATAATTGCCTTTCAGTCTATCTCGAACAGCTGGCGACACACATGACGATGTCAAAGCCAACCAGCATCCGAAAGACACTAAGACACACCTTCCTTCATTAATCTGAAATCATTGCACTCAGTATAAAGCGTCAACAGCATACCAATTTTCAACACCATCTCAGTCTACTTAGTCACTCCCTCCATGTAATGATGCTTGAGAGAGTCGGCGCCTTACGAAAACCATTTCCTTCCAACAAACTTCACAAATACATCATCAACACCTAACACCTACTCTCACTCCATACTCAACATCACATCACACCACATCACATCGCATCAGATCACATGAGATGAGATGAGAAGGTGAGAAAGGATAAGTAAGGAGGAAGTGTTGTCTGGCAACCAACCAATCAACCAACGAAGCAAGAAGCCATCGAACAACAACATATATGCAGAAGACGAAATTGGAGATAGGTCGGGTTGGGTTGGATTGGATTGGATTGGACATAGAGTGAGAAGACTGTTTGTGGACATCACGCGTCAGGCCAAGCCAGACTAGGCCATGCCATGCCGTGCCAGGCCATCGAGTGGAAGCCAAATGTGAAAGGATGAGTCAGGTATCTGAGTGTAACATGGATGGGATTGTGTGATGAAGAAACGAAAGGAGCCAGATGAAAAGGATTACAGAGAACAGAGTGAAATAGTGACAGGCTATTGAAGCCCTATATTCCACTAGGAACCCAAAAGACAAATAAATATTAAAACTAATAACACTCCTGAAGGGAATTCAGGGGAACAGTACAGATTCTTACTGAAACAAGTACTGAGTAGTATAATATACATAGGTAATCTTCACAGTAAAAAACGTTATCAGTAACAATAAGGATGATGTAATCCAAAATGTAGGAAATAAGGTCTATGCAACTCTAGAGAGTGAAATTATTGAACCATCTATCTTATCAACATCATTTACCCATGTTGTCATATATATGGCGTTTGAATTCGTGGGTTATATAATACACAGAATAGCATCAGGTGATCTAATCTTTTTGTAACCCATCTGGATCATTAGAATATCCCTCCATCATACATCTCAGGTAAAGGATAATTCTTTTTAGCATCCGATTATTCCAGTATGAAAATTAAGTTAACAGATATTGTCTATCTATAGTCCTCCATATAGTAGGCTAATTAGATTATGCTGATTTCTTTACTCCAATTCGTCTATACAGTACATAGATTGAGATTTAGTATCTCGTTTCTCTTTTAAGTAATTACTCCAGGATAAGTCGATCTGTTTTAGCATATTTGATGGAAATATAATAATAATGATGATGGGAAGTGGTTAGCAGTGGAGTTCACAATGCATATTTCATCCAATTTGAGACTCACCAGTCAGATGAGAGATGTTATTCCTACCGGAATTCGAACTCGGGATCGATCGCTTCAAACGCCTTATTCGCTACACCATCGAGCCATCGTAGCCACTTCTATACATGTCGCGCAAAAGCCTTGGAGTTTGAAGTGATCGGTCCCCAGTTCGAATCCCGATGGGAACAACACTCACTGGGGGGCAGGTACATTCAGCTGACTAACGAATCCCAAATGGAATGGAATACGCTTCCTGGATTCCACTGCTAGCCACTATTCATCATTACTATATAATTAGAAAAACAGGCAATATCGAGGCATCTTCGTGTGAGCCCATATGCCAAGAGAAACCGATCAGTTCGGTCCAATCATTATTATTATTATTATTTATCCCTTGGGTTCCTTAATGGAACATAGGGCTTCAGTAGCCTGTCTCCATTACACTCTTTTCTCTGCAACCTTCTCAACCTGACTCCACCACTGCCCACAAGCTCTCATTTCTTCCTCACACAATCTCCTCCACGTTACCCTTGCCTTGGATGCTCAACTCGTCGTTTCCCATCTGGGTTCCACTCGAGTGCCTGGCCTGTCGCGTGACGTCCCCAGTCGTCCTTCTCAGTGTATGTATAATCCATCTCCACTTCCTTCCACTGCATATTTATTCAGCGATAGCTTCCTGCTTTGTTCCTGCGTTGCCAGCCAGCCAGCCAGCCAGCCACAGTTCCTTCTTGCCTATTATTTCTCGCCTTCTCATCTGAGCTTCAGTAACGAGCCAACATAGGCAGTTGTTGATGAATATCTGGAATTTGTTGGAAATCCCTTTCGTAACGCACCAAGTCTCTCAACCATCACACAGAAGCAGTGACTTACTTGACTGGATTGGTGTTGGAAATCCGGATGTTTTTCACGCTTTATGCTGAGTGCAGTGCAATGAAGTGCAGTGGAGTGCAGAAGATCTCCACACTGCTTTCAGGCTAATGAATGCCTGTCTTGCTGTTTTTCCGATCCTGACTGACTTTGACGTCCTCGTCTGTGACTGTGCTGCCTGTAGTTGAAAGGATGCTGCCTAGATAGATGAAAGAGGTTACTTCCTTTAAGTTCCTCCTGTTCATGGTGATTGGTGTTTATTGTTGTTGTTGGTTGGGTATCATCATCGCCTACGTTCACTTGAAGTGCCGTCTTCACTGCCCTGCCTCGCCTCTTCTGTCAACTTGTTAGATTTCGCCTGTAGATCTACAAGTTTGTGTGACATTAGACATAAGTCATCGGCGAAATCCACATCTTCTAGGTTCTTTTCCCCGTTCCAGCATATCTCCCTCTTCCCGCTCCTTCGGTCCAATCAACGACGGTATAATACAAGCAACAATACTATTTAGTGGGTAGTTTACTGAAACTAGCAATCCGTATGAAATATTCGTATTTTGTTTCTAACTACTTACAAGTAACATAATTAGTTTACAAAAAAATATCAACTTTATGTAAAAATGTGTATTGTTCAATTGATGACATGTATTGGCAATTAAAATAATGTTAAGATAATAAATAAAATTATTTAATCGCTTGTTGAGATTTTCCGCTTCTTAACAATGATTTAATGAATGGGAATAATGAATTCCCCTAGGGCTATTGAAAAATTTGAAGAAAATTTAGACGAAGATGAAAAATTTTATTAAACCCTACATCGTAGTACATTCACGCGTGTATAGCCTCATTAATAATAAAAATAACAAGGAAGGAAGTTATTGACTACAAATTGATGAATAGGAAATTCAATAGAATTTGGTCATCATCTGACAAAAGGATATGTATGGCTCTAAGTAAAGTTATTCTGACTTTCAAGTTACTGGTAGGTGGAAGGGATAGATAGAAGGTTGAGAATGTGAATTTTATCATTTACTCAGTGACTCTGAATGAATAAGCTATTCATTATTGAACTGTAGGATAATGAATTCTTGTTGGATAACTGAAGGCGACTGACAGAAGGTCATGAACTTAGTTAGGTTTCGTTCTAACTAGCCTTCATCAGCCTGGTGTATCTTCAACCTCAAGAGAAACGATGTTTCCTTAGAAATTCAACCCCTGCATCACCCGGTGAACTACTTTGTGAATACAACTCAAGAGGATTGTTTTCCAGAGATTAAATAGTGCACAGTCGAATTTATGAAATTCTTGCCTTACTAGTGAGTAAGAATGAGCTGAAAATTCCAAGCAGATTGATCACTTTCGTTGTATTAGATGTTAAAAGGTAACCTAACAACTGTCATGCCAACCAGCTTCTATTATCCAAGCTCATGGACAAACAGACAGCCTCTAATCCCCGATTTTGGTTGTCATATGGATCATAGTCACGATTTTTACATTTTCCAACCCGACTTAAACTAAAAGTTGCAAACTTTCCGAACTTTAACGCTTCGACAGCCTAAACCGGCTTTAACTAACATAGCAGCAGTATGTTCTAAGTAACCATCTTGGTGACTAGTAGTGAAGTCGAAGACACGCGTTTTATCCTATGTGGTATCAACTCGTCACCTGAATGTACCTGAAGCCCAATAAGTGATGTTATTCCCATTGCTATTGAAACCGAATACCCACCGCTTCTTGACGGCATGGTAGTCATCTCTTAACATACCGGTACGAGTATCAGAAAATCCTCTCGAATCAGAGTTTCATATCTGTTAACACCTACATACAGCTAATGTCTCCTGTAAGATCATAATCTGCTTTATTCAGTATTCTAGTGTTCCCCCTCCCCTCCTCCATCGGAAATATGGGGGGGGGACTACTTTCAAGACAATTAATCTCATTTTATAATAACCTCATTTCAAGCAATCAATTGCTGATGAAAAAAAAGCGCCGAATTCAGTGTTATATTGCAGTTTTTCATGTTTATTTCGAACAAAAACAGTCGATTAATTGTCAGTGATCGAAAATAATGTACAAAATTATGGAAAATCGTATAAAAAATCTGCCTTAAAGAAAAAATATCTTCATTTCAGTTAATAAGGACTAATATATACAAAATTAATTTCAGGTAATAAAAATAACAGAAAAAGATTCTCTTGTAAGTACTGAAATCTTAAGGTATAGATTCTGCATTAAAAAATGTATCTATCATAAAGTGTATAAAGAATAAAAGCAAATAGAATTCATCTCAAAAAATTATACTACCTAATTATTTGCTAGTAGTATGATTTTAATTACAAAAATAAAATCAAAATTGTTGTTTATTCATCATTTGTAAAAAAGAATGTTCATAAGGATTGATATTGTCGGCTGAATTAGCATGCATAAACTGATTGTTGGTATTACTATTGTCATTATTATTGTTATTATTATTATTATCATTTATATTCACAGAAGAATATGCAGTTTCTGAAGGAATAAATAAATGTGATTGACTCCAATCAGTTATAGGACTAGGGAAGAAAACATTTGTTTGATTTGTTATCAAATTGTCATTATTATGTAAATTCATTAATCTTGAATTAAATTCAACATTCCATGAATTATTATGATTGGCTAGTTGATGATTATAACAATGATCATTAGTCATTTTAGTGAATTTTGATTGGTTAGTATATTCATGTTGATCAATATTCAATGATGAATTATTTTTTGATGTAGATATTTCATATTTCAATTGATCTGTTATTGATAATAAACTTGTATTATGACTATTTGATTCACTAGTAGTATATTGATGATGATATGAATTTTCATGTTGTAATTGAATTAAAAGTCTTGGATTCACTTGTAATGTATTAGCAATTAGATTAGTTGTATTCTGTGAAAGATTTTTAGTTAAATTCAATGCAATTTGTAATGATGTTGGTGATTTATTTACTGTTAATAATTCAGATAATGTATGTATATAATTTTTAGCTAATCTTAATGTTTCAATCTTACTTAAACGTTGTGTTGTTGAAAATGTTGGAATATGATGTCGAAGTAATTCTAAGGCATGATTTAAACTATGCATACGATTACGTTCACGTGTATTAGCTCGTACTCGACGATTTTTTTAAACGTATTTCACGTTCTTTTGTTAAGGGTTTTTTTTAGGTCCACGTTTTTTTGGTTGTTTCATTGGTGAACTAGTTAATATAATAGATTCTTTAGGGAATATTATTATATCATTATCATTTTTATTATTATTATTATTATTCAATTGATTAGTTTGTTTTACTGAAATGAAAGTTTAAAAAAATAAATACCCGGTAAAATTGAATTTAACACTAAAAAAATATGAATAGATGAATATAGGCTACTCATGAAATTCTAAAAAGTTAGTAGAAGAGGCAGCAAACGCGGGTGGGGGGGGGCGGGAGGACTCCAGATGAACGTAGAGAAGAAGACACAGGTGATGAAGATAACCAATGGGAGAAATGTAAACGAAGTTGTCTCTTTCACAACTACAGGTTGTGGCAGTGGCACAAATGACGATATCAAAGCCAACCAGCATCGGAAAGACACCAAAACACACCTTCCTTCCTGACACCAGTCAGTTGGTTGGAAGTAACGCGTGGGAAGCGCTCCACAATCTACGGGTTCTTGACAATCACCTCCAACCAACTAACATTACAGTATTTGGTTTTGCCTTTCAGTCTATCATGGACAGCTGGCGACACACATGACGATGTCAAAGCCAACCAGCATCCGAAAGACACTAAGACACACCTTCCTTCATTAATCTGAAATCACTGCACTCAGCATAAAGCGTCAACAGCATACCAATTTTCAACACCATCTCAGTCTACTTAGTCACTCCCTCCATGTAATGATGCTTGAGAGAGTCGGCGCCTTACGAAAACCATTTCCTTCCAACAAACTTCACAAATACATCATCAACACCTAACACCTACTCTCACTCCATACTCAACATCACATCACATGAGGTGAGATGATATGAGAAGGTGAGAAAAGATAAGTAAGGAGGAAGTGTTGTCTGGCAACCAACCAATCAACCAACGAAGCACGAAGCCATCGCACAACAACATATATACAGAAGACGAAATTGGAGATAGGTCGGGTTGGGTTGGATTGGATTGGACATAGAGTGAGAAGACTGTTTGTGGACATCACGTGTCAGGCCAGGCTAGGCCAGGCCAGGCCTGTGTCTGAGTGTGACATGGATGAGATTGTGTGATGAAGAAACGAAAGGAGCCAGATGAAAAGGATTACAGAGAACAGAGTGAAATAGTGACAGGCTATTGAAGCTCTATATTCCACTAGGAACCCAAGAGATAAATAATAATAATCAATGAGATTCAAGTTTTCTAATCAATCTAAGTAGCCTAATTTCATCTTCATTACATGTATTAGTAATTTAGAACAACCGTGAAGCAGTGGATACTGTTCTGTCACTTCTTCATAGACATAGGGAATATGGTTCTTCTAGTCCACACAAGTGGTATCACTCAAATGACTTCCCGTAAAGAAAATGATAATCACTATTGATTTGAAGTAATAAAAGTCACCCAGTTTTCAAAAAGCCTCTTTATTGATTACTGTTAGACGTCAGGTTGTTTTAATTGAATCATCATTATCGTATTATGTAATCACAAGTCTATCAAGGTATGGTTACTTTCTCAAGTAGCCTTGTCGTCAATCAGTGCATGCCCAGTACAGTCCATCTCCACTTCCTTCCACTGCATATTTCTTCAGCGATAGGTCCTTGCTTTGTTGGTTCGTTGCCAGCCAGCCAGCCAGAGTTCCTTCCTACCTATTCTTTCCGGCCATCTGATCTTCAGTAACGAGTGAGCATCAGCAGTTGTTAATGAATGTTTGTAGTTTGTTGCAAATGCCTTTCGCAACGCTCCAAGTCTCTCAACCATCACATAGAAGCACTGACTCACTTGACTGGATTGGTGTTGAAAATCCGGATGTTTTTCACGCTTTATGCTGAGTGCAGTGCAGTGGAGTGCAGAAGATCTCCACACTGCTTACAGGCTAATGAACGCCTGTCTTGCTGTTTTTCCGATCCTGACTGGCTTTGACGTCCTCGTCTGTGACTGTGCTGCCTGTAGTTGAAAGGATGCTGCCTAGATAGATGAAAGAGGTTACTTCCTTTAAGTTTCTCCCATTGGTGGTGGTCATACAGATACACTGTTAAGAAATGAATTTGGGATTTATGGGCGTTTAGACATTTTTCAAGATGACATTCATCATGAACTGACATCATGATGAATCCCACAAACCCTCCGAATTCAACTGAACTATTGCTCATTAATGACCAGTTTCAAGAGATGGGTGATTCCTGAAGTTCCAGTGAGAATTTGTGAATTGTGGGACAAACCTGATGGCCATGAAGATAAGTACTCAACGATGATATTGGGTAGCGGTTGCGCTATGTCGTGAACTGACAGTAGTTGAAACTATGGACCATTGGATTGCAATCCACTGGCTCAGTCATAATGTACTGGCCATGGAACCTGAAGATCGCGGGTTCGATCTCTGGTGGTGAGGGATCGTGGGTGCACATTGCTGAGGAGTCCCATGCTAGGACGAAACTACCGGCTGTCCAGTGCTCCCAGGTTTCCAACATTCTTCCAACTGACATCAGTCCATGATGAATACCGATTATGTATTTCAACCGCACTCTGACTACTGATGTCCAGACAGTCAGGTAGAGATCGAGCTGATTGCCTCATCGTATGAACATTCAAATGACGGTTGACATAGGTAGTCTTTGCTTTTGGCAGATCAGCTAACGATATGAAAATTCCTAGTCACATCAGAAACCATCCCATCCCCACCCACATCCCCCACCCCCTAAATGCAACAAGTAGTTATGGCGATTCGAAAACTAAATGTAAATTGTACACATACTTACCAGCAAGTGGATGTTTAAGGTGTCGTAACTATTGTCTCCATCCACCTAACATCTATCTCAGTGATTTGCAGTACTCAGTCCCCTAGCCTAGAGATTACACTACAAGGAAATGACTGGTAGTGCTGACACTTAGAACAAGACAACAAAAAGTTGGTTACCCTGCAGGGAACAATCAATGGACATGCTCGTGAATGGATCGTAGATTCAGGTAGTAACCAGTTTTCATCATTACTGCGGGGGGGGGGAATTGTATCAGTAGTTTTAATATTGCCTAGCAGTCATCCATCCATCCAGATCAACATAGGACCAGGCATTACTGCTTAACGGTCAAACTTGCCACACCTCATATCACCACGTCAAGTAAAAAGGTGGTGAAGTAGAAGATGCAGAAAAGAAACTTCAATCAAGAGAGATATAAATTACTAAACGAGAGAGAGAGGAAGAATGAGAAAGTGGTGAGATTCGGTATAGCGTCGTTAAGATGAGGATAATGTGTGTAGGGATACATCTGCACCACTGACATCGGTTGTGAGCCATGTGACCACCTAGTCTCCAACCATTGTTTCCTCTTGTCCCACTGACCCCAACCACCCAGTCTGCATCGTCCAACATGGCTCGAACCAACAGTCAGAGACTTCATGCATTGGCGCCTTGTTTTAGTCTGGCCACCTTAGGCCTTTTTCCAGCCTGGACCCACCTCAGCCAACATTGTGTGACGAGGCAATCGGTGATTAGGCATATGTAGTACGTGTCCCAGCCAGGCGTCTCAGTCGATGAAGGTTCACAACCTTGTCAACCGACTAACCTCTTTTCTCTAAAACTCTACTGCTGACTTCTGCGTTACTCAAGTGGTGACACCAATGAATACCGGCTATACTATGAAGGCAACGGTGGTCAAACACATCAAGCCTTCTCATGTAAGACCTACAACCCGAGTTTCGTCCCGCCTGGGACTCGTCACTTGCCTTTCGGGGAGTGATATTGTTGGAATTCGTTTAGCAGACAACACAATTGGACCGTAAATTCCATTAAAACTGTCTAGATTCATTTTGAAAACGTCATGTTGATTAGCTTGCCCAGTCTCTCTCTCTCTCACTACTCCCACACTATTCAGTAGTACATACACTAAGAGCAAAGGTAATACTTTTATTCTTTCCTTTGGGTTTATTATTCTACGGATATATTAGTAGAATTAAAGAGAACAGATTGCCATGAGTTTGTTTTATTTACCAAGAGATTCAAGGGGGGGGGAGAGATAAATTTTCTTTGAAAAAATGCCTTCCGATCAAGCATTTTGTTACACTATTTATTTTTTGTTTATTCAATTTCTCTTAGTCATGTTAATTTCTTTGTGTTGTGATTCAAGTCGACTCGTGGTGGCTTGAGGCATATTGTCTATCAGGTAAACATGATCACTGGACCACCTTCCCTCCCCCCCCCACCTCTCCACACCTATTCTCACTCTGACTCAAACTGAGCTTTATCCATTGTGTGTAGGCCTCTTAAATTTACTACTCTGTTAATGGTAATCAGCTGATTATTATTATTATTATTATTATTATTTACATGCCATAAATACATGCAAAGTCATTTTTATCTATGCACATCAGGACATGGGAGAAATTAGTGAACAGATGTCCATACATGATACACACATACACGGTGAGTTGTATGCAGTTATTCTGTCTCTCCCCCCCCCCCCGCCATTGAATTTCCGTCTGCTGTCTGTCTATCCATCAATTCATCTTCTATTCCCCTCCCCCCGACAAGCAAGATGAGTCTATTTTATCTTATTCTAGACCTCTTTAAATGATCTGTTAGCAGTCAAGTTTACTTCCATGACTGCTCAGTCTAGATCAAAGTAAAAACAAGAAAAAAGGATTTCTTCTTATTTAGAAGAGAAGATAAAAGAAGCTACTTATCATCTTCATGGAGAGATCATGTCAATTAGGCTGTCATTGCAGTGAATTGATTGTCTGCTGTCTGTCTGTCTATCTATCTGTCTGCGTGCATTATTGGCCATTAGCATGATGCAAACCATTGTTATCTATCTCTTTTTTTGTATTATATACAAAACAATAAAACACAGTGAATATCTTGTGTAAAGAAAGATGAAGAATGAATGGAGAAGGGGGGGGGGAGGGGATAATACGCGTATACACCAACACGTACAGAGAAGGCTGAAGGGGAAAAAAAATCTACAAATAGACAGAGAAAGCAATAAACAATACTGGCTCAAACATGTTCAGCTAGTCACTATTCTCTCTCACACCCCTAGTCATCATATGATGTTGATGCTGAACTGTTTCTCTCTTTTCTTTTTTCCCGTCTATTCGCCAACTGTCCCATGAAA